GAGGCAGGAGAATTGCCTGAACCCAGGAGGCAGAGGTTGCGGTGAGCTGAGATTGGGCCATTGCACTCCAGCCTGGGTAACAAGAGCGAAACTCCATCTCAAAAAAAAAAAAAAAAAAAACATGGGATATAGATATAGGAATTTTCAAGCACACAAATCTGAAGAGGGAATTCCAGGCAGAAGGTACAACATGTCCAAAGGCTCAGCAGCATTGCAGGTTTGGGGAATCACAAGTAATTAACTATTGTTATGGACTGGTAAATCTCTTAGTTTCCTAGGGCTGCTGTAACAAAGTACCACAAACTAGGTGACCTAAGACAGCAGAAATTAATTCTCCCACAGCTGGAGGCTAAAAGCCCGAAATCAAGGTGTTGGAAAGACTACATTCTCTCCAAAAGCTTTACAGGAGAATGTTTCCTTACCTCTTTAAGCTTCTGGTGGCTCTATGTGTCCCTTCCCTTGTAGCTCATCACTCTAATCTCTGCCTCTGTCTTCACATAGACTTCTTCCCTGTGTGTCTCTTTATCACTCTGTGCCCTCTCCTCTTACAAGGATAGAAGTCATTCGTTTTAGGGCCCACTATGATCCAATATAATCTCATCTTAAACAGATTACATCTGTAAAGACTGTTTCCAAATAGGATTGTATTCACAGATACTGTCTAGGTGGACATTGATTATGGGGGGGATATGACTCAACCCAGTATAGTAAGCAACACCTAACCATGAAAGATTTTTTTTTTCTTATGCTAATGAGTTTAGGTTTTGTCCTAAAGTAGGCAAAGAAGTGTTCTGGAAAAGTTTTAGCAGAAGATTGGCATGACTTCTATGGCTATATAGAGAATGGATTGGAGGGAAGGGTAAGATTAGAAGCTGAGAAATTGCCAAGGAAGTCCTTGCAATAGCACTGTGGAAAGATGATGCAAGTCCAAATTAGTGTTGTAGTACTAGTGGAGCTGTAGAAAGTTATTTAAAGACCAAAAGTGGGAGCTGGGCCTGAAGTGTAGTGGTACACATCTATAGTCCCAGCTACTTGGGAAACTGAGGCAGGAGGATCACTTGAGCCCAGGAGTTGGAGGCTGCAGTGAGCTGTGATCAAGCCACCACACTCCAGTCCGGATGACACAGTAAGACCCCATCTCTAAAAAGAAAACAATTATCATCATAAAAAAGGCTAAAACTTAGCCGGGCACGGTGGCTCACGCCTGTAATCCCAGCACTTTGGGAGGCTGAGGTGGGCGGATCACCTGAGGTCAGGAGTTTGAAGCCAGCCTGACCAATATGGTGAAACCCCGTCTTTTAAAAAAAAAAAAGGCTAAAACTGGACTAGGTGTGGTGGCTCACGCCTGTAATCCCATCACTTTGGGAGGCCGAGGCAGGTGGATCACCTGAGGCCGGGAGTTCAAGACCAGCCTGACCAAAATGGAGAAACCCCATCTCTATTAAAAATACAAAGTTGGTCAGAAATGGTAATACACGCTTGTAATCACAACTACTAGGGAGGCTGAGGCATGAGAGTCGCTTGAACCCAGGAGGTGGAGATTATAGTGAGCCAAGATTGCACCATTGCACTCCAGTCTGGGCAACGAGAGCAAAACTCCGTCCCAAAAAAAAAAGACTAGATGAAGAGACCTGCTGACAGATTCTTTAATAGTATTATTGAAAGATAATGAAGAATTAACTTAGGAAAGTGGCTGTGTAATTAGAGGCAACAGCTATAGCAGAAATAGAAAATAAATTTGGGCCTCAAGGTTGTTTACATACCAACATTTTTTTTTTTTTTTTGAGACGGAGTTTCGCTCTTGTTACCCAGGCTGGAGTGCAATGGCGCGATCTCGGCTCACCGCAACCTCCGCCTC